ATATATATATATATATATATATACACATACATATTTTAAGTAGTTATAGCAGCATTCCTCAGAGACCTTGCTTTTTAAGAATAGGTTAATGCATGAGATACCAAAATGTAAATGTGATGCAATATGATTATCATTACAATATTTCCTGAAGCATTCCAGATTAGGGCAGAGGACTAAAGAGGCAAAAAAAATAAAAAAGGTAGTTGATGTAAAAGCTGCAGCAGTGACTTTTATAGGTTATCACTTAATGCATCCTCTAACCATTCCCCTCCTGTGATATCCTACCCCCCAGTGAAATTTTTTTTTTTTTTATCATAGAAATTAGGTTTGAGAGAAGCAATTTTGGTATACAGTCAATGAGACTGTAGCTCTGGGCCAGAGGAGGTTCTCAGCTCCAGGCAAGTTCACTCTGTATTCACTGAGACTGAAATATGACAATGGAATGTTGATGGGGCCTGGTGGGAGGGGGAATGAGGGTAAAAGTGTTTATACCAAGCTTTATTCTCACTGTGGCAGGTCAAGTGCTAGAGTAACATCTACATCCAAGCAAGTCCGTCTCCGACTCCGACTCCGACTCCAACTCCAACTCCGACTCCGACTCCATCTCCATCTCCATCTCCATCTCCATCTCCATCTCCATCTCCTCCTCCAGCCTCTGCTCTGCGTCAAGCACTGGGTGGAGCTCTTTATATAGCAGCACAGGCAATATTGACTTATTGCCAACAGGTGTGTAAGTATAGCCTGTACAGTAGGCTGATTACATGAGCAAGTAGATTAGGGTCAGGTGAGGATCCTGGCCCGGGGAACTTCATTTTCCCTGCATTGACCTAAATCCTAAATACATCAAGTTCCCATGAACTGAACTGTAAGTGTATACTTTGTTAAAAAGTTAGGAAGGGACTCTGGCAAGGAGAAGCTTATCTGGATTTAAAACCTTGCCATAGATATGGGTACACAGAAAACTGATAACACTCTTGCTTCAGGGAAAAATAACTAGACAATGCCAGTCAGGGATAAGAAAGAATTTTTACTTTTATCTGTAATAACCTTTTGGACATTTCAAATTTTTTATCACATGCACAGTATTACTTATTATCAACAAAAGAACAGATTAGCTTGACATAGATGATTGCCCATTGTCTCTAAATTACTTTCCCCCTTCTCTTTTTTTTTTTCAGGTGTTTGCAATGGCTGCTACTGTGAACTTGGAACTCGATCCCATTTTTTTGAAAGCACTAGGCTTCTTACATTCAAAAAGTAAAGATTCTGCTGAAAAGCTAAAAGCACTACTTGATGAATCTTTAGCTCGGGGCATTGATTCAAGTTACCGTCCATCGCAAAAGGTACCTAAGTGAATTAAATGCTTGGAGGGAATTTGTAAAACCTGCAGTAGTAGTGTTACCATTTAGGCCACCTCAAAACAATCTCCCTGTCAAAATAATCTTTCCTGCGGCATGAAATTATGTTCTTTAATGTTCTTTTCTTCCTTTAAACTTTCAGAGAACTGTTACACTACGTAGAAAAGTTAGCTGGGTGAGAGGAATATTCTGTTCCACTTTAAGTGAAGAGAAACCTACTTGTTTACAATTTACTTTAATTTTTAATTCTTGTGACTAGAATTTTTTTAAGTTGCTAAATGAAACCATAATCACTTATGATTATTCTTTAATGTTTTATGAGCAAAAAAATCATGATATTAAAAAAAGAGATTTTTGCAATGAAGTTGATTGAATATGGATAGGAGAAGTTAAGGGAAAAAGAAGTTTTAGATGAACTGTGAGACTGTATAGCTCTAGTCTTGATCATAACAAAGTTGCCAAGCAACTTTTTGTAAAAAGAAGATACGTTTTTGAAACCAGACAAACCTGTTTTAAATCCTGCCTTACCTCTTACTAGTTATGTGATAATATAACTTTCAATGTAATTATGTTGCCAATGGATTTCAGTCCCAGGCAAGTTCGCTATAGATTCAGTGTGACCAAAGAAATTGACAGCAAAATGTTGTTTGAGGTGAAAGGGTTTATTACCGGGCTTGTTCTCCTGGCGGTAGGTCCAGCACTAGCGTCTCTGCCTCCCCCCAGAGCACTGGGCTGAGCTCTCAATACAGTGCAATAATAGCTTATTGCCTAAAGGTGTGGAAGTGGTAGCCTAGCAACGGGCCAGTTACATCATCAGGTGGTTTAAGTTCAGTGAGGATCCTGGTCATAGGAACCCCAACTTCCCCACATAATATACCTTGAACATTTACAATGGCCTAGGTACTTTTCTGAATGGTGTATGTGGGCAATTAATTTTAACCATGGTAACAATTCTTTGAGATAGGTATTATTTTTCATTTTACAGTTAGGAAACTGAGGTACATTGTAAGTGAATTTCACCCAGATTATTTCTTTATTAGTAAAATGGGGATAAGAAGAACTTACAAAAGTAGAGAAAACTAAAAGATAAACTCTGAATCACATATGTCTGTGGACCTAAATACCAACCGAGAAGGGGAAGGCAGAACTACATGACTAGTTCTGTCTATCCAGTATCTCAAGCCGAAGACAGGCTAAATCCAAGACTCAGTGCCCAAATAAACAATGGTATTTTGCACCCATCCTTTCAACATTGGCTTTTTTCTTTATTGTCTCAAGACTTGTTATTGTCTTTTGAATAGTAGAGCCACTGTGATCTCATTTTTTCTACCATTTTCATTCTGGTAGGTTTAGTGAGTTCAAACCAACCAATTAATACAACTCTACAAAACATACTATCAAGTTAATTCTGCTCTGAGTAGTAATTTAATCCAAATAGTAAAAACCCATTATTACTAAAGAAGCAGAATTTTGAGATTCTAAAACAAGGTAGTTTATCTGTTAAAGTACATGAAAATTTTGTTGTGATTCAAAAGCCTCCTGCCCTTAGGTTTCTAACTGGGGTTACTTCTCTTGGTCAGTTTATAGAAGATACTCTGTTAGTATTTCAATAGCATTGATTCGTTTAATTGTAGCCTTCAGCTGGACATGTCCATTCTCTAGAATTCTGTGAGAATCACCTAGAGTCAGTGGTATGCTTATAAACATTAACAACCAGCTCTCCAAGTGTAGTTCCAACACAGAAATTGGTTATTTTCATTTACATCATTGAGTATTGAGTAATTCAAATCTGAAATAATGGAATGAGAACTTAATTCATCCATCAGTGACTTGTAACTTCTTTGCTGAATTAGGTAATAGTTTTCAAATGATGCAAGATCATGTCCTCAATTTTTATGTTACAGACAGGATACACTTTGAAGTTTAATCTGCATTATTAATATGTTCTCCATCACTTTCCTAAGTCTACACAAGTAGTCACCAAACTTTCTGTAGAGTCAAATAGTAAATATTGCAGGTTTTGTGAGCCAGATGGTCTCTGTCACAACAATCGAATTCTGCCACGGTAGTGTGAAAACCGCCATAGATCGTACATAAGTGAATGAATATCGCTGTGTTCTAGTATAATTTTATTGATAGAAAATAAGCAGTAGGCCAGATGTGGCCTACAGGCCCCAGTTTGCCAACCCCTATCTAGATATTCATCACAGCAATAAGTCAAGCCCTGTAACCGGTAAGTCTAAAGCTCCATTCCACATCTTTTCCCTTCTTTTCCTCCTCAGAGGTCTTTACTCTTCTGAAGCTATGTATCATTCCCATTTACATTTTATTTTTATTTGTTATCACAGAAAAATGGACTGCACTCAGATGTTCTAGTTTTATTTAGAATGATAGGGAAATGCTTTCCTTTCTGGGGGTTGATTCCAAGAAGCTACTGTATGCATAAACTTTTTATACTATTAACAACAATAGATAGCAAGTATATATATAAGCACAGCTGTCATACAAGAGCAAGTTTTAAAACAGAATGAAAAGACAAGCCAGAGACTGGGAGAAAATATTTGCAAATCATATATCTAATGAAGGATTTGTATCCATAATCTAGACACTTACTCTAGAGAAATGAAAGTATATGTCCGTACAAAGACTTGTATGTGAAAGTTCATAACAGCTTTATTTGTAATAGCCCCAAACTGCAAGCCACCCAAATGTCCACTGATAGATAAGTGAATGAACAATTGTGTCATATCCATTCGATGGAATATTACTCAGTAATAAAAGGAATGATTTATTGATATTCTTAGCAACATGTATGAATCTCAAAATAAATACACTGAGTGAAAGAACCCAGAAAAAAAGAGTACATCCTGTATGATTCCATTTACATAAATTTCTAAGAAATGCGAACTAATCTACAATTGCAGAAAGCAGACCAGTGGTTGGTTTAGGATAGGGGACATCGTTTCTCTAGGACATATACCTGTAGGAGTGATTACAGAGGCCCACAAGGAAACTTTGGGGAATGATGATATGTTTTTTTATATTGCTTGTATGCAGAGAAACTTAGCAAACTTTACACCTTAAGGAGGTACAGTTTGTGTATCAATTATTCTCAATAAATCTTTTTAAAGAAAAGGACATTATATTGGTTACAACATAGTATTTTAATTTTGAAAATTGTTTAATTTGTGACCTATTTTTTTATTATAAAATAGCTGAATATATAACCATGGCTATCTTTTTATTTCACCTTTTAGGATGTGGAGCCATCCAAAATTTCAAGCACAAAAACTATTTCCATTAAGCAAGAGCCCAAAACATCCTCTAATCTTCCTTCTGGCAATAATAATGGCAAGGTCCTCACAACTGACAAGGTGAAGAAGGAACCTGAAAAGAGACCTACTGATAAAGTAAGATTTCATTTTAATCTAGTAAAAAAAATTAATTAATTAATTAATTGCTTATAGGCAGAAAAATGTTTTGTACTTCCTTTATATAATAGTGGGTAAAAATACATAACAATCACTCAGTAAATATGTTTTGGTAATTATATATACTGATTTTTTGAAAAGAGAGTAAAATTTAGAAACACTTTTAAACCATTTACTGAAGTCATTGTCAACAAATGTTTGAGCCCTAGGGGATGTACTCATTTCAAGTATAAACTTAATTCATACCTCAAATATTCTAGATGGAACAGTTGTTAAAGAAAAAAATGATAGAAAATAATGATGTAAATGACTAAACAAGAAATTTATTACAGAATGGCATGTATCTTTAACAGGGCTATAGATAATTCTTGAATTGTGTATACTGAATGATTTCTACACATAGTTAATTATTAAGGTTTTAGCACGAAGAAAAAATACTCATTAGAAAAGATATTTAGTAACCCCTGCCCTCAGGGTGAGGTATATTAATACCATGTGTTTTCACACTTTTCATACTTTTTCTAAATATTAGCTACTTGTAAGCTATATTGTTTTCTGTGCTTTTAAATTTATGAAACTGGTTTCATATTGCACATGTATCTCTTTTGACAACTTTTTCTACAATCAATAATGTAGTTTTGAAATTTACCTATGTTGATACATGTAGATCTGAATATTTCTTTCAGCTACCATTTAATATTCATTTTATAAATAAACCAGATTAGACCTTCTCCTACTGATGAACAGTTAGCTTATTTCTTGTTTTCTAATAAAATGGAGCTTCAGTGAGCTGCTTTATATGTAGCTCTTTGCATACATGGTGGTAGTTTCTATAGGATGTATACCTATAAGTGGATGTAATAGGATGGGTACATCTTCATTATTACTAAGCATTGTCAAATTACTATCCAAAGTGGATGAACTAAATTTATACTCTCACCAATAAAGTATAAGAATGCCAAATTCTCCCCATCTTATCAGATTAAGTTTTTGCTAATCTGACAGGTTTATTTATATCTCAAAGAGAAAGGCCAGAATTTGCTTTGAAGCAAATATGGCCATGTGTTAAATCTAGAAGGCTAGTAGATATTTCCTTCTTTTCAATATATTTTAAATGTCAGTAGGTTATAATTTAAAATATTTTTAAGAAAAACAGTCTTATTAGTTCTGTGGCTTTTCAGGGGAAAAAGGGCAGAATAAGTAAACCCAATAAACTTCCAGAATTCTTTAACAGATGAAAAAGTACAAAGAGATATGCAAATACATGCTAAAATGTTCTGATTTATTTATTTCTCCTTGCTTGTTTCTTTTAACATACTGACAATGAATTTACTATAAAACCCTTATATATCCTTAGTGTGTATATCTATCCCTAACTTTGAGAAAATATCTGTCAAGTAAACTTTGGGCATTGCACACTGTCCATCTTACCCATCTCTCAGTGATGCAAAGTTTATTCTAACATGATGCTTTCTGATTGTATGCTTTTTTTTTTGGTATCATTAATCTACAATTACATGAAGAACATTATGTTTACTAGACTCCCCCCATCACCAAGTACCCCCCACAAATCCCATTACAGTCACTGTCCATCAGCATAGTAAGATACTGTAGAATCACTACTTGTCTTCTCTGTGTTGCACAGCCCTCCCCATGCCCCCCCATTATACAGGCTAATCATAATGCCCCCTTTCTTTCCACCCCCCACCCCCTTATCCTTCCATTCCCACCCTTAGTGGGACCTCCCCAGTCCCTTTTCCTTTGGTAACTGTTAGTCCATTCTTGGGTTCTGTGTTTCTGCTGCTGTTTTGTTCCTTCAGTTTATCCTTTGTTCTTATACTCCACATATGAGTGAAATCATTTGGTACTTGTCTTTCTCTACCTGAGCATAATACCCTCTATTTCACTGAGCGTAATACCCTCTAGCTCCATCCATGTTGTTGCAAATAGTGGGATTTGTTTTCTTATGGCTGAATAATATTCCATTGTGTATATGTACCACATCTTCTTTATCTGTTCATCTACTGATGGACACTTAGTTGCTTCCATTTCTTGGCTGTTGTAAATAATGCTTCCATTTCTTGGCTGTTGTAAATAGTGCTGCAGTAAACATACGGGTGCATGATCGTATGCTTTTTATAGATGAAATCAGATATCACTGAAGGCACTGATATTCCAAAGAAACCTAGGTTGGAAAAACCAGAGACACGGTCCTCTCCCATTACCGTTCAAACCAGCAAGGATTTAGCTATGGCTGACCTTTCCAGTTTTGAGGAGACCAGTGCTGATGATTTTGCCATGGAGATGGGATTGGCCTGTGTTGTTTGCAGGTAAGTTGTACCTTGCTGCAGATTCTTTTGTTTCTTTGTAAAGAGCAAACAACTTTAAAAAAATTCAAATACCAACTGTTGGGTGTTTTTTAATATTTCTGTTATTGTTATTTGGAGGTGGGTAACAGATAAGTAGATTATTCCCTATGAATAGCTCTTGTAGCAGTTTGTCCTGAAAATCGTCAACCGTTTTACCTTCCTCACTGTAGCATCTTTCATCTTTATATTGTTGTAACATTTTCTAAATTTTTAAGTTATAGAGGAAAAGTGGTTCTTGCTTTATTTTATAGTGAGGAAGAGTCTGTAGCAGATTCAGTTATTTCCATCTTTCTTTTTAAAAAGTCTGTGTTCCTTTTTTTTTCTGAATTGTTGATAGTACTTATAAAATAAACTGTTATGTTATCATTTCCTAAAACACCATTAAATCTTTTCCTAAGGATTGCAGAAATGAAATGAATAGATCAAGTAGGTTATTTCAGTGTTGTTTTAAAACATGGATACATTATTATAAAAGCACTGGTGATTAGTAGAAGATGCATGTAAAATATCAGAATAACTAGATTTTAAACTCCTTCATGCCAAAGGCTATGTTTTCATTTTTTATTTAAGTATAGTTGATACACAATCTTATATTGGTTTCAAATATACAACACAGTGGTTCAGTAGTTATCTATTTTATTAATTCCTCACCTCCTGTAGTGTGGTACTATCTGTCAACATAGGAATATGTTACAGAATCATTGGCTGTATTTTCCATGCTTTACTATCATCCCTGTGATCAACCTATATTATGATTAAAAATTTTTGTGCCCTTTTATCCCTCTCACCCTCCCCACTCTCCCCATCTACTCACCCCAGACCCTCTCCCATGGTAACCACCAGTCACTTCTCGTTGTCTTTGAGTCTGATGCTGTTTTGTTCCTTCTGTTTTGCTTTGTTTTTATATTCCACAAATAAGTGAATATTTGTATTTGTCTTTTCTCCATGTGACTATTTTGTTCCTTCTGTTTTGCTTTGTTTTTATATTCCACAAATAAATGAATATTTATATTCATCTTTTTTCTACCTGGCTTATTTCTTTTATCATAATATCCATCCATGTTGTTGCAAATGGCAGGATTTCTTTATTTTTTATTGCTAAATAATATTCCATTGTGTGCATGTACCACATCTTCTTTATCCATTCATCTATTGATGGACATTTTGGTTGCTTCCATATCTTGGCTATTGTATGTAATGTGGCAGTAAACATAGGGATGCATGTATCTTTTCTAATAAGGGGTTTTGTTTTCTTAAGGTAAATTTCTAGAAGTGGAATTACTGGGTCATATGGTATTTCTATTTTTAGTTTTTAGAGGAACCTCCATACTGCTTTCCCACCAACAGAGTAGGAGAGTTCCCTTTTCTTCACATCCTTGCCAACACTTGTTATTTCTTCTTATCTTTTGGATAGTGGCCATTCTGACTGGTGTGAGGTGGTATCTCACTGTAGTTTTAATTTGCATTTCCCTGGTGATCAGTGATATGGAGCATCTTTTCATGTGCCTGTTGGCCATCTGAATTTCTTTGGAGAAATGTCTTCAGGTCCTCCACCCACTTTTTAATTTGGTTATTGTTTTTTTGGTGTTGAGGCATAAAATTTCTTAGTAAATTTTGGATGCTAACCCCTTTATTGGAAAAATCATTTATGAATATATTCTGCCACACTGTAGGTTGTCTTTCTGTTTTTCTGATGGGGTTCTTCACTGTACAAAAGCTTTTTTTGTTTGATGTAGTACCATAGTACCATTTGTTCATTTTTAATAATTGTTGTTCTTGCCTGAGATGTATCCAGGAAAGAATTGCCTGCTTTTGTTTGAGATTTTTGACTGCACTTCTGAAAGTTTTATGGTTTCATGTATTACACTTTGGTAATACATATAGGCAACATAGAGATGGGTCATGTTTCTTTATTCTGCCACCCTATGTCTTTTGATTGGTGCATTCCATCTCTTTACATTTAAGGTAACTATTGATAGGTTTGTATCTAATTGCCATTTTATTAACTCTCTTCTGCTTGTTTTTGTAGTTCCTCTCTGTTCCTTTCTTCCTCTTATACTCTTCTTTTGTTATTTGATGGGTATTTTTAGTGTTATGATTGTATTTCTCTTTTTTAGTATTTTGTGTATCTGTTATAGGCTTTAGGTTTGTGGTTACCATAAGGTTCATGGATAGTTTCCTAACATGTAACAGCCTATATTAAGTTAATGATTAATCTATTTCAAACAAAATTTAAAGTACTTTTTTTTATTATTATTCCTCCTCTACACCTTATGTACTAGATGTCATAATCTCCATTTTTTTGTATATCCCTTGACTGCTTTTGTGTATAATGGTTTTCCTACTTTAGTTTTAATTTCATAGTTTCTTGGTACATAATTGGTCTGCTACCTTTACTGTGGGTTTATTTTCAGTGGTGAAAAACTATTTAGACTTGAGAACATTTCCATCTACAGAAGTCCCTTTAACGTACTCTATAATGCCAGTTTAGTGGTGATGAGTTCCTTCAGCCTTTATTTATCTGGGAACTGTTTATTCTCTCCTTCAACTTTTATTGATAGTCTTGTGGGTAGAGAATTCTTGGTTGAAGGTCCTTCTGTTTCAGTACATTAAATATATAATGCCAATCCCTTCTGGCCTGTAAACTTTCTGCTGAAAAATGCTCATAGCCTTAGGGGTTTCCCTTATAAGTAATTTTTTTTCCCTCTCTGGCTTCTTTTAATACCCTCTCCTTATCCTTAATCTTTTTCATTTTAATTATTATATGTCTTGGTGTTGTCTTACTGAGGTTCCTTTTGTTAGGGGCTGTCTGTACTTTCAGAACCTGGGTGTCTGTTTCCTTCTCCAGATTGGGGATCTTTCAACAATTACTTCTTCGGAGAGACTTTCTGCCCCTTTGTCTCTTTCTTCTCCTTCTGGTACCCCTGTTATGCAAATGTTGTTTCATTCAGAGTAGTTACACAGCTCTCTTAGCATTCTTTTGTTCCTAGAGATTCTTTTTTCTCTTCCTCAGTTTCATTGTGTTCCTGTTCTCTAATTCCCATCTTATTGATTATCTCCTCTACTTGCAGCAATCTATTATTTATTCCCTCCATTGTATATTTCATTTCAGTTACTGTATTCTTCATCTCTGAGTGGCTCTTTTTCAACTCCTCTCCCCTTGTTGAAGTCCTCCCTGAGATCATCAATACTTTTCTGCAGATCACTGAGTATGTATTATCATTGTTACTTTGAAGTCTTTATCAAGAAGGTTGATGATCTGTATTTCATTTAGCCCTCTTTCTGGTGTCCTGTCCTGTAGTTTTGTTTGGAACATATTCCTCTACCTCCTCATTTATCAGGGTTTCTGTGTTTCTTCCTTTGTATTGCATATATTTGCTCTGTTTCCTCATCTAGACAGTAATGGCTTCATGAAGGTATCCTTTGGTGCCCAGGAGCTCAAGACCCTTTATTCTCCAGTGTCTGGTTGTTTGCTGTGGTACCCCAGTACTGCTGTGGGTTATGGGCAGGGCTGCCTTTCTGTCTGTCTGCACTGGTCTATCTCAGTCTGCCATAGATGGCAGCTCTCCTTAGCCAGCCCTTTGTGTGCTGATCAGCAGGGCTTCTGCTGGGATTGTTGTGGGCAGTTCACCCTCTGCCTGTCCTGCAGTGATGATGACACTGCTGCACTAACGTGGTAGGTACATGGCTCTTCTGTGGAGTGCGCAGCACTGGGGCCCACGGTGCCAGACTGGGTCACCCTCAAGGAGAAAGGAGTGTTTGGAGCTGGGCCCCTCATGCACCTTCCCAGTTGGGCTGAGAGAGGGCCATGATAGCTTGGAAAGCCTCCCTCTGCCTGCCAGGCAGTAGTCTGTTGCTGCTGGGCCTATCAGGCTGGGTGGGTGGGCAATTGTGCAGGGAAGCACCTTAGGGCTGAGCCACCAGCTGGGGGTATGGAGTGTTTGTTTCTCCCACAATTGCCCAGCCAGGAAGGCTGAAGGGGCATCGGGGAAGTGTAGTCTACCTGCCTCATCCACCACCTCCCCCCTGTACCCTTCCCATTGCTGGCAAATCTTTCAAACTGCCTCTATGTTTTGGGTCTCAGTGGGACCAATTGAGGGTGCTGTCCTCCACAAGTGGCTGGAGTCTCAGCCTCCCAGAGTGCTCCAACTCTCTGGTGTCCAGCCCCAGCAATCACAAAAATCCAATGCAATGTGAACTCATGTTTCCAGAGTAGATCTCCAGGTCCAGTTGTGCAATTCCAGAGCCCCTGTCCCCTCCCCACTCTGTTGCTCTACCTCCTGCTTATGGTCTGGGATGCAGGAAGGGCTGGGGTCTTGACTGATCATGGCTCTGCCACTTTACCCTTCTCTGAGTGGTCTTCTCATCTTCACCAGATGTAGGTGGTCTGTTCTGCAGCCTTCAGGTCATTTTCAGGGTTAGTTGTATTTTCTGTAGTTTCTTCTGTGGTGTGTGTGTTGGAGGAAGTTTCCACCTTGCCTTCCTACTCCACCATCTTGTTTTCTGGGTTGGTGGTGCATGCGTGCATGCGTGTGTGTGTGTGCATGTGTGTGTGTGTGTGTAGGGGCTGTGTTTCTAATTGTTAATGGCTTTCACTGCCCAGCACAGCAGAAAAGATTGCCATCTTTGTTGCTAATTTGTTCCTGAAAATGTTAAATTCTGGTGCACTGGAACTGAGTAAATAACTATAAACTTTTGTGACCATATAGAGAATGAGTAAATATACTTTTGAATAGGATCATTTGTTACAGCTTCATTGTTTTCACATGCATTTGTTTATTTAAACCTTTATCTACCATGAAGGGTATCATTTTTAAATAAATAAACAAATGGTTAAGCAATAATGGGGAGAGAACTAGCAACTGTAATCCTCCATCAGGAGACTTATGATAATCTAAGGCTGTGGTGATTGTTTTCTGTGCTATTAGAATTTATACTTCTTGATACATATATTGCTACATTCTGTTCAGTTGATAAGACATTTGTTTATTGAACACCCTGTGTCTGCACAATAATGGTCTAGTTCCTACCTTTAGGCCACTCATATGTTAATGGAAAAGATAGAACAACATGTAGGTAAAAAATATAAAGGAATTTAACAGCAATAGAAGGAAATTGTCATGAGACTAGCCAAAGTCTACTACATTCTGGAAAAAAGAGAAAAATTACAGTGAGAAATGGTTTAGTAGAATATAGCCAAATTGAGTTACTAAAGCACCTGATATATTTATTAATGGTTGAACATAAGCTTTGAAAGAAATGAAGTGCTCGTGCAGGTTACATATTGGGGTTTGTTATTTTGCTCTGTGGTTTTCTGCAGTTTTTTTCTATCAAACTTCACCAGAACAACCCTACAATGACTAAATTGTTACATTCAAGTAAATGAAATGTTTAATGGTATATTTTCTTAGGCAAATGACTGTCGCCTCTGGTAATCAATTAGTAGAATGTCAGGAGTGTCATAATCTCTACCACCAAGACTGCCACAAGCCCCAGGTGACAGACAAGGAAGTGAATGACCCTCGCCTTGTGTGGTATTGTGCCCGATGTACCAGACAAATGAAAAGAATGGTAGGAATCATGTTTTTCTCTACTTTAAATAGTCTCTTGCACTTTTTTGTTGGTATGTGCTTTTCAACATAAAAAGTTAGATTTAAGATACTGGGAAAAGTTGATTATATAAGCTGATTATTTAAACGTTTTTGTATGTAGTGTCTATGTGTGATTTATATGTCTATGTCTAAAAACCAGACCATAGTATGTACATTTTTCTGTTCAGCTTTTAGCTTATTCTTATATAGTCAAACAGGATTAGAGACCCACAAAATATTAATCTTACTAGTATGTCAATATGCTTACCAACATTTTAAAATGCTACATAGCACTGTGGGAAGTAGTGAGATACAAACCCCAGTATTTGGTGAGTCTTGTAAGGAAATACTGAAAATGTCTATTTCTGAGTGAGCTTAAGCTGTATTTGTGTGTGCATCTCTGCCTTTCCCTGAATGTTTCTCAGTTCCTTAGTCTTTCCTTCTCTTCTTTGGCCATAGATCTCATTTTCTCAATGTGCTTTCTTGCTTTACTGCTCACTAATGTAACTGCCTTCACTATCATACTGAAATGTTTTCATTTGTTATACTGAATAGTTTTCTAACTTTTTATTCATCTAAATGGTAGATACATGAACTTCATTTTCTTTTTAAGAAATCAAGGAGTTGTTATTACTTCAAGCTAGTTTGCTTTCCCCATCTCTCTTCCCCTGCCTTAGATTAGGGACTTTCAATGGGAGATTATTCATGTCTATTAACCAAATGACTGTTTACGTAGATTTTTCTGACCAAATATATCTTTTTAAGTCAGAAGTGCTCCAATTTTTTCTGCTAAGTCTGATTTTTATTTAGCTTATTATTTAAAATAGCCTTCCAGGTCCTCAACCAAAATGATTCCAGGTACATTCCTAGACCTTGACAGAGAATTATTACTAAGAATTAGTAATAGTCAAAATAAATAATTTGTGACAGTAAGTTATCTTTCTTTAATAATATTCAGGATTTGTTCTTTTCAACTATCATTTCATTGTAAGACTCTTAATAGAGTAAGCACTATTCTCTCCTAAGTTTTATGTGACTTAGTTTACATTGAATCTATATTTATGGTTCTAACCTTCTTTCTGGAATGAACTTTGGCAGCTGACCTGGTATCCTACAGTTACTTAAGTTCAACATCTTTAAAATTGAAGTTGTTTTCTTTTCCACTCAGGTTTTTCACCAATTGCCTGAACTAGAAAACATTATCCTTGGCTATTCTGTTAGTTTGATATCTCTTTGTTTACCAAATTTGTAAATTCTATCTCTTGTATATTTTTCAAATCTGTTCATTTTGCTCTTACTGCCTGTTGCTTTAGCCTCTTAAGATGTCCCCTTCCTTCCCTTCAAACCACTTTACTCATTATAATTAGAACAATTAGAATTACTCTTCTAAATAATTATCTACCTTTATCAGTTTAAATATGCCCAGTGGTTTTCAGTTACTTATATGATGAGGTTTTCCTCATTAGGGTGGGTATATAGACCTTCTCTCTCAGACCCAAGTCTACATTGTATCTTCTCCCCTACTTTACCATATACACCCATAAACTCTGGCCAGGCCAGACTAAGTGTATCATTCCCTAAATATGTGATGAACTTTCATGTTCCCATATGTTCTCCTTCTCAGTTTTTTTTTCATCTGGTATTTTTAAAAATCTTTACTGTTTGGCAAATTAAATGTGTAATTCTTGTATCAATAAGACCATGTCTCATTCATTGGCATAGCATAGAGCAGAGCTCAGGACTGGACACATCCCACATTCTATTGGTCTCATTTTAAGATACATAAAATGGAGGAAATGTGCATTAGGACCAAAAATCAATAGTCAGTAAGTTTATAGTCTATATGTTCAAAAGTCAGAGTACTACTGAATGGGGAACTATGACTAATATTTGAACATGATTAGAACATACCAAGTATAGACCTACGGAAATATGAAAAGGTATGATCTAAAGTGATCCTGAATATCAGGATCCCGTAAACACAAGGATTAATGAGAGAGAAGAATTTGGCAACAGTGGGGATGCTAAATCCAGTCATTTTAATTATAATTTATTTCATGAAACTTCTCACATATGTGCTGGTTATTGCTCTAAGATTATTCCAGAGATACTATAAATAGCATCTTACATCCCTTTTCTTCTTGTACTAATTTCTCCAACAGGGGCACATTCTGCAGTATTCATTATTATAGGAAGACCTAGTTAAGAATGTTGTGATAGAGTGTGTCAGGGACCAAGGTTGTTCTTCAGTTCTGTAATTTTCTGTCTGCCAGGTAATAGGTTTTCCCCAATACTAGATAAGAGACTCATGGCTTATTGCAGTAGTTCTCAATCTAAAGTAGTAATACACTTCAACCATACAACATTTAGAAATATGTGGTGTGTTTTATTGCTTCCATACTGGAAATTATTTTCCTGTGTGGGAAATTTCATACATTCTGCACTATGTGAGGCAGTCATCAGTGAAAAATTATAGTGCCTTTATTGAGCAACAGAGTCAGTGATAACATTCTAGTTCTCTAAATTAGTATTACCATTAAAGGAGAAAGGGTTCTGAGTATTTATTATTCAAATACTAAGATGGCGAGGTGAAATGGAGGAAGCAGAAAAAGATCCAAATGTGATTTCCTAGGCAGAAGTCCTTTGTGGACTTCACTGTAATGAATCTTCCTCTGCAAATGCATGCAAATTAGGACAGTATTCAAAGTCTAACCTCGGGAATGGTAAATGTGGATGGAGGAAAGTATAAAATTGAGAAACATCATTATGATTTACCCTGAGAATTGCATTTTCATAAAGTGGTTCTGTAGTAGAGGGTAAAAATGGCCCTTCTTTCCTGCTGGTACAGTATAGTTTACCACAGATAGTCTTCCAGCATCCTTAATAATATTCTTGATCTGAACGTTACTTTGTAAGCGATGTTTGAAAGTAAGTGTACTTTCATGTGGAAAGCATGTAATATGAAAAATGGGATAAATTGAGACTTAAGAACCATAATTATTTAGTATGGCAAACCATAGAATGAAATTACACAACTAAGAATATAAAATGACTGTATTCAGAGTCCTAGAAATGGGAACAAATCATCAAAGGTTCCCTGGCATAGTCCTGTGTGAACTTACTAGAATGGTCAAGGACAGTGGAATGGATATGCTGGGTTCTTCTCGATGCAATTTTCTTATCCTTTGTAAGTAATAATGATAAATAAATAGTAACTATTATTATTAGTCCTCAACATGTGCCAGACACCATGCTAAATTCTTATATAATCATAATTCACCTTATTAACCCAAGTTTGAAACAAATGGTATCATTCCCATTTTGCAGTTGAAGAGAATGAGGCTTTGAGAGATTTATGTATTTTGCCTGAGGTAACATAGCTAGGGAGGTAGTTGAGCTGGGTTTTTTAACCCTAGTTCTGTTTGACTCCAAAAACTGTGCTTTTTTTATGTATTAGTTTATAGTTAAGACTATTTATATAGTTATGATTATCTACTTGGAAAACCCTAAAGAATAAACTGAAAAATGAGTATAGTTTATGAGAGAATTGAGTAAAGTACCCATTGTAAATAGAGAAAAAATGTCAATTATTAGTCAAAACAAAACTGAAAATGCTTGTAAAGGAACAGTGGATACAAATTCCTTTTTGATAATATAAAAATTTGTGAACTTCTGCTAATAATTCAGTGTGCCTAGTTCTTCAGTGTGGAAGAACCTCAAAAAGGCTCGTCTATTATCACTAATATATATTTCCTCCCCGTTCTGCATTTTTAGCCATATAATTGATCTGAACTACCTTTTAACTCCCCTCAGTTACTCAGACTTATATGCCTGACCATCAAGAAGAAAACTTCTAAGTCTGACCAACCATAAGAAATAAATACACATCATTACAAGTGAAGCTAACTCATTACACATAGTTTGTGATTTTCCTTTTTGTTTATACAATTTGATTTGTGTGCCTTGTTAAAATGGTATTTAATCAACCCTAGTCTGCATGACTTCCAAGGCTTAATAGTATCTTTCCTATAAACAAATAAAATACATAAAACAATTAATAGAATGATGATTAAAATAATTTGTCTTAGAGTCTATATTTTCATTGTCATTGCAATATTTTTTAAGTGTTTGACTGTATTTCAATTCAGTGAGGAGTCCTGTGATAGATTTTGTGTGTGTGTGTACATTCAACTAAGATTTTTGTGTCTAATTCACTGATTCTTACAGGCTCAAAAAACTCAGAAACCACCACAGAAACCAGCTCCCACTGTTGTTTCTGTAGCTCCAGCTGTCAAAGATCCATTGGTTAAGAAACCAGAAACTAAACTAAAACAAGAGACAACTTTTCAAGCATTTAAGAGAACAGAAGTCAAGGTACAGTACATTCCATTTTATGTAAAATTGAAATTTAATTGATTAAACGATTGGAAAAAATTAATGAATTTTAATACAAATGGCCATATATTAAATATTAAAACTGCATTACTATTAACATTAGGTTGAAGGGGAACATTTATATAATTATTTAATCTCTAACTCTGCAATTACTCTTTTTATCACAATTAGGAACTGTCTATGAGCATTTTAAGATGATATTCCTTACCATTCCTATGTACTCAAACATTTATCTCCAATTAGGAATTTGATTTAAATGCTAAATACATCTTCTCTCAGTAGCAATAATTTTTCTCCTCACATTACTTGCATTTATTGGCCCTGTAGTTCTTTTTCTCTGTACTTACTAGCTATTGAAGAAGTTTTGTTGCTTTGTCTAATTTTCTTTCCTTTATTATCATGAACTTTCATGGTACCTACCTCTTTTTTAAGGGGCTAGATTATCTAGTGAGAGTATTAGATTTTTCATTCATAGGTTTGCATTCTTGAAATCACATAACATTATTATTTTTATCCTGGCATTTGATATCATGGGATGAAATAATTTTCTGATCTAACTTTATAACAAAAAGCATGCTTTTACTGAGTTACACATGACAATCTTAAGCAGAGTACTAAAGATGGAAGAAAAAAATATTAGCCCCAAATTCTCAAAGGTTGACCCCAAGAAACAAAGGATATTACCTTGTTTAAGTGAACATATGAAGCAAAGATCAAGAACCTTGGTGTGATGAGAAAGAATATGAATATAAAGAACTCTGAGAAGATGTTGATCATTTTATTTCCAGATTTTTTTATTTTAATTTACCAGGTAAGAGTTCATATTCAAGGGTTATCTGTTACTGATTTTTCATATAGAAACTTAGTGAATTGGAAAAGAATTAAGAATTAATTTATTGAAATTAACTAATGTTGCTGTATTCTATACTTAAATCACTTTTAGGTAGATTTTTATACTAACCTGTTACTACTGAAGTTTATTTTTAGGAAATTCAACATAAAATAATCTTATGGCAAATAAAGGCCTTGGTTCTCATGTTCTGATTAAGAGATTGTGGTATTTTTATGATAAAAGTAAATAAATTCTTACTATGAAAAGAATTTCTTCTCATTTATATATAAAAAGCAAATGGCTTTCTAACAAGAGTAGTGGGCAAGAAAACACTTACAGTTAAAAACAGTTGAGAAATTTATTTTCTACACTGAAATAGTAAGAAATTACTGGTCTCTATTGTTTGTGTTATTTTACTTTTGCATTTCGTGACTGTAGTATAAGCTGTCTCTCATTTGTTGAAAAGCAATACAGTAAAAGTAAGCCATTAAATTTAAATGCTATATACACAAAACTTGCGTTCTCATTTGTACTTTGTGAGTATTGGTCTTTTTAACTACTTTAGATGAGTTTTCTTTTGTGAAATTTGTTGAAGTATCATTTAGCCATATGGCAGACACTTTTATGTTTAATAGAAAAAAGATCTTTCATTAAGTGAAAATTAAGTTTACTACACTTGTGTCTTTTTGCTTTCTTGACTAACCTTTTCTCATTACCTGTATGCATTCCTCTAATAATTTATAATTTATGTGAAGTTTACTTCCTCCAGATAACTTTATGAGGTAGTTTTTGTATGATGTTACTATAAAAAATCCAGTCATTTTTCAGAGTATATGAACAAAAATCTGGACTCCTCCTCTTATAAAATAAAGATATTAAAGCGTTCTATTTTGATTACTTCTCACATTGGTTAAAAATGTTTACATAAAAACATTATTGAAAGCTACTTCTTAAGAAAAATGTTTCTGTCAGCTCTTCAGAATTCAGTTCTAAAAAGTAACTGGATATATTTTAGGTATGGTAACTACCATATTTTTAACTAAGATACTATTTGTAAGACTTTATCTTTTACCTATGTGTGAATTTAACACTTTGGTGAATCTTCTTAAGAATATGAAGGTAGAAAGAGTGCCGGTGAGAAGTTCAACACGTAACTAACTTGAACAAAGAGCATTTTTGCCTAATGTGAAGGTAAAAAAAATTTGTTCTTGTGTGATAAAAGCAACAGTTATTTATATAGTGACATTGAAATTACTGTTAGCTTTTGAATGACCAAAAAAAGGTTAATTAGAGAAATTGAAATGTTATACCTTTAAAAATACGTCTGGGAGTGAGTCAGACCTACCCAAAACATAACTGCAACTTTTGAGGCAGTTGATAAAACCCTTTATACAGAATGAGGCATCTCTTGTGTGATAGATTCAATGGAAACTGGACAAATTATGAAAATAAAGTAATGAGACCTTTTTAATATGTCACCAGAATTGTATAATTCCAAGCAGTTACTGATGCACATCAGCATATATTTTGCAGTACAGTAGCTCCTTGCTCAACATTTGGGGGAAACTTTTTAAAAAATGGCTTCAGAATCTCAATACATTCACTCAATAGTTAGCTATTGAGTAAATCTCTTTATCTCCAACAGTTGAATGTCCTGGGTGTAAGCTTTTTTGTCCATCAAGAATGAATTCTATTTTTGATTCGATTCACAAGTCATTTGGAGTAAAGTCTAAAGAATTAGAAGTTGTACTGGGCTAGAAAAACCTTCTTAGGTGAAAAACAAGTTAAAGCATTACATCTTATTTTCTGATATGGCTTATAACTGAATCTTAAAGCAGTTCTCAAAAAGGAATTCCATATATGCCTTTTTTGGAATCTTTAGAACAAGAATACAGCATCCCAGAATTTCTGCTTTGGAAATGGTAGTGCCCGTTAGCTATGGATAAGTTTTGTTGTATGTTTTTTCATAAGAACTTAATTTTGGTAGTGTGATCTCCATTTTACAAGTCATTACTTGTATAAAAAGTTCAGGAATTAAGCCTGTTATATATTTAAGAGTATTATATTAGGTATTAATTATACTTGGCTCTAATGTAATATTTGTCTTACTGTTTTTTAGACATCCACGGTTATTTCAGGAAATTCTTCTAGTACCAGTGTTTCCTCTTCAGTAACTAGTGGTCTAACTGGATGGGCAGCTTTTGCAGCCAAAACTTCCTCTGCTGGTCCCTCAACAGCAAAATTAAGTTCAACAACCCAAAACAATAGTGGGAAACCTGCTACCTCATCAGCTAACCAGAAGCCTTTGGGTTTGCCTGGTCTGGGAACATCATCCAAAGGTGGAATAGGTTCCAAAATAGGTTCCAGTAACAGCACTGCACCCCCTGCGCCATTGAAACCACCTCCCCCTCTAACTTTGGGCAAAACTGGCCTTAGTCGCTCAGTTAGTTGTGACAATGTTAGCAAAGTAGGTCTTCCTAGTCCGAGTAGTGTAGTTCCAGGAAACTGCAGCCAACTAAGTGGGAATGGAAATAGTGGGGCACCGGGGCCCAGTGGAAGTGCCACTAGCAAAACCACTTCAGAATCAAGCAGCTCACCCTCAACATCCCTTAAAGGTCCAACCTCACAAGAGTCACAGCTCAATGCCATGAAGCGATTGCAGATGGTCAAGAAGAAAGCTGCCCAAAAGAAACTCAAGAAGTAACATGGCTAAGTAGGTTTTTATATCACATTAACGTAAAGATTAAAATCGTACTATTTAGGACATAAACTGTAATATATAATTTAATAAAAATCTTCATAATGAAATTTCTACTATTTCTTACCTTAAAATGCTATTATTTGGTAAAACTTGGAAATCTTTTTTATTTTAAGTCTGCTTAACATTTTTAACAGTTTGTATTGGGTGTGAAAACAATGATTAGACTAATTCTTGATTAGAACTTGAATCCCAGAAGACTGGTAGCATATGTGAACTTTAAAAAAGAAAAAGAAATAGTTCATCTTGAGCAAAACTCCAAGAACTGATTCTGCTGGAATAAGGTGCTTTATAAGGTGGCAGGGGTGACCCAGTTAAAATGTTGTGTACTTTCCCTCAACTATCCGGATATTCTTAGCCCAGTTCCATTGGTTTTCCCCCTCCCTCAAAATATTTATCTCCTCTTTTTAAAAATTAGTTTTTCATAATTGATTTATCATATTCCTCTATTGTATCTTTGCCTTTTTCATCTCATATTAGTTATTTAGGGATTTATCTCTTCCAATGGATTGTGAACTCCTATGCCTTTTTAATGCAATACATTTCTCACATTGCTCACTTCTCACATTGCTAGTGCAACATGTGCACATAGTATATACTTAATAAATATTCAATTTTTATGCTGGTTGTACACATTCCTGAGAATTCTTGAGCAAAATATCTATTCCAAGAGTTTTTGGATGGATAATTTCTCACTTTTAAAATACTGATAGTATGTATCTTCCTATACCATAAAAAAAAGCTGTTTTCTTCAGCCCAAAAATGTTACAGTGTTTTACCTAATTTTACTTAATTTTATATATACAGGAAGCTCCCATAGAATGATTAAATCTTGCAATTATTTTGAAGTATGTGTGTGTACACTGTTAAGTCAGGAAGGGTGTCAAGTTTGAGCTTTGCCTTACTTGCAACCTAACAAAGTAGCCTACCATTATTTTACATATATATTCTTTCAGAAGATATGAGGATTTCTGGGTCAGAGAAAGTTTATTACAACACAATACAGCAGCCATTTTGTACTTCATGAATACCTCATTTCATCCAGAAACTGGAAGTCCAAAAACTCTCCACTATCACTAGACCATGTGCAGCCTTGTTCCTTCAACTTTGATGTGTTACCAAATTTTCACTCTACAAATGTCTCATCTCAAACTCTCTCTTAATCCCTAGATTTTTCTAACATCATTATTTTAAGATACATAGATAAATAATTTCTGTTAAGACAAAGTTGTTTAAATTCAGCTTGGTCAAAGGACAGATATTATTTTAAACTACTCTGTGAAACTATGGCACCTAAATTATTCCTGTCAAGTAGAATTTAAGATTGACATAATCCCATTACTTATATGTGGAGTAAACATCTGTTTATGTGTTTAAAATCAGTCTGCAGGTGTTTTTGTTTTGAGAAGCTGTTGATTAAACATCAATTTGGAATCAACCCCAATTCCCCTTTAGAGTAAAAAGACCCCCCCAAAAAATGCATCATTACTTTTTTATAGGTCAGGGTCAGTTGGACTAAACTGGATAAAACAACTTCAAGCTCAGCTCAGCAGCTGTAGTAAATGTGTAACCTCAGTACCTACAATAAGTTAAAACAGTAATATACACAGTTTGTACACTGGCACTGGAGACAGAAAATTTTAACCTATAGAATTTATGTGCTGGATAGAGTTGAAAAGAGAAGCCATTCTTTTCATTTCTATGGAACTTCAGAGAGGATTTTAGAAGACTTGTTTAAGAAGTAATTTATCTTTCACTGAGTGTGTCTCTTTGTATAGATTATATGTAAGTATAAGTATATATTTATAATCTGCACATATGTGTAAGTATGCATACATCTAGTAATATAACTCAGTTTGGTATTTTGTTGGTATATTTAGTATAGAGTTTGTCTTCAAGTAGCTCTTACACCTTGATTTTTCCATATCATGAGCTACAAGACTTTTTAACTGATCATGTGATGAAAGTGACCGGCTTTATGTTAACAGTATTATATAATGTTATTTTTTTTTCCTACTAGCTAATTTAAATATAAATGAGGGCAGGGATCTTGTTTACCTTGTACACCATTATATTCCCACTGTAGCTCACAGTAAATATTTATTGGGTCAGTGACTGAACAGACAAGATAAGTAGGTGGGCCAACAAGTAAGTTTTCAGCATTGTAAATTCAGATCCCGTTTTAGTGGAAATTTGGTCAATATCACATTTCTGTTTTGCATATTGTGCTTTCTCTTAGATTATTTAACCATAGATTTTAGTTACTTAAGGAAAAAAAAGGACAACACTGAGAGAACACTGACAAAGTCAGAAGATGGTTTTGAATGACAGTTCCTCCCTGAAGTAGCTGTGTGATCCTCAGTTTCTTCCTCTGTAAAATGTAGATGATAGTTAATGAGATAAAATGGAAGGCATCTAATATCTAACATTCAAAGGTTAGGTGATTCTGACTCTCAGCAAGGATGTGGTAATACCATTTATTAGTAACAGAGATTATAAAGTATACTGTGATGACCATAAGTTAAATAGGAAATACATAATTTTGTAAAAATAAATTTGTATTAATGCAATAATTATAAAAATTACATAAGCAATGAAAGAAAGTCATAAATACATTTCCATACCATAGTATTTTTTTAAAATAAGATTAACTTTATTTAATTTACTAAGAATACGTCCTCCAGGTTTTTTAATAGGAACAAATTTGACTTATTTTCCTAAAAAAACTAAAGCAAATCTTGTCTGTATCTAGAGTGTAATATCATGAAAGCAGCAGCTGGCCTACAGAGATTCAGCTTGAATTATAGTATCCCTGAAGTAAAATTTTATTATATTGGAATAATGTAGATCACAGAAAATCGGATGGTTGAGTTTTTATATATATATATTATTTAGTTTGTATAGGAGCGAGGTAACTGAAAAAAATTAGACTTTAAAAATAGTAACATTCTACAAGTAGTAGTATAGCCCAGAGAATATAGTCTTGTGTCCTTCCAGTCAATGAGACTAATTACTTCCTCATCAACTATAATGTAAATTAGCGTCTACTTTGGCTTGAACTTTATGAGGTCTAGACTTATTCAATATTGAGCAGTGCATTGAGTACCATAAGAAACCATAGTTAGGACAAACAGGATTTAAATAAAGTGATTTTCCTGCGATCTTAGAATATAAAGATTTCTTCTCTTCAGTCACATTGCTTTGAGAGATTTTTCCACTCGACATATCTGTGAAGTTTATGGGAAAAGTGAAGAGTTTCAGTAGTGAAAACACTAATTTTTTAAATCATCTGCAACTATTCCTCACAAATGTGACAGGGACTTATAGCCATCTCTAAAAATCCAAGTTATATTTTAGACAAAATATGGAATATATTAGCACTTGAAGTAGTTCACAACGCTGCATTTATATGATTAACTTCATTATATTTCTTTTGTACAACTCAACCTTCATAGAATTATTTTATATAATGAATACTAAAAGAAGATATTTTCTTGAAATATAAAGAATGTTCAAGTAGTGGCTTTTTGATTTTTTCTCTTAATTTAAGGACTCATGGTAATTTTTTATTACTGGATTTTTTAGAATTTCTAAACTTTGTTATGTATAATATTAGTCTAGAGCATCTGTATTTAAAAATAAATACCAAATAAAATGTTTACATACACTTTATTTGTTTTACAGAGAAAAACAACCACAAAATTTCCCCTTCATTCTTGAAAAAAATTCAAAAAATCCTGTACTGTACAATAGCATTTACTTTAAAAACATATAAATAATTACATTAGTATACATCACCTTAATTAAAATTGCTGATGACATTGTTACATCTTTCTAAACTTCTTGAAGACTTTTTCACATCATAACTATCTTGGGATTTTATTTCCTTTAGGCCCAAGAAAATAATGTCTGACCTCAGAATTACAATTATTTGATTTTAAACAACATACTCAGAAAATGAGGATATTGTATAATATTAAAAGAAAAAAACCTAAAAGGGAAATGAAATGTAGGTGTATTTTAAAAATAGCTGCAACAGTTTTATAGTAATATATGTTCACAATAATGGTGGACTGCAGTAGGTGGCTTCATTACAACTTGCTCAGCAACTAACTGCAGTTGTGAATTTAGTGGTGTGTTTCTTCAAAGGTCAGACAGGAAGCATCAATCCTAGGACCACACAAGTAGACAGAACTTTCATATACATCTAGTGGTTTATTTCAGCTAGAAAAACAAACATGTTATACTTATGTAATTCTCATTTTGGGGAGAATATTAAGGTCACAACTAATTTAAATATATATATACATATACACACACATATGTATAATTTCCCCATTATTTTGGTTTGGGCATGTTCATAGTTTCCACAGGTAGCAAATTTGGATTTCTTTTTGCTTTACCCTAGGCAAACTGGAATTTACTTATGTTTCACTATTGGGTACAAAGGACTATTTAAAAGACATAAAAAGACCTTTTACGGAAAAACAATTTATCAGTAGAACCTTAGGAAACCATTTTTAGTTTAAGAATTTTAGAAACAATGCTGTAAAATGTAAATTCTTCTGTCATGTAAATGTATTATGAATTTCTGTTGTACATGTCTTATATGTTATGTTAAAGCCAGTAGCCCTCTGAAAAGCAGCAGTCTTCATTATTTTATTCCTTAGTAATATATGTAACAATATACATTATAGAGATCTAATCTTAAATTGTAATGCCATATTAACACATTTTATATGGACAATGAAAGTCCACTTTATTTTGGTTTTTAAATGAAACCACTAAACGTAATCTTTTTTCTATTCCAAAGAAGCATCTTTAGTTAAATAAAATGCTTTGACAAAATATGCCTGAACTCGTAGAGGACAATTCTGAGCTATTTCCAGATGAATGTTTAGTGTACCAGGACATTGTGTTACAGAAAACGTTATCTTCAATGCGTGCCTTATCTATGTAAAAATCAGTAACTAAAAATATTTACATCTTGGCTCAATATGGAATGCATTCCCCTTTCATCATCCAAATGATTGAGCGATCCAAAAATATTTCCTCATTCACGTATCAAGAGCAATCATGTAGGATTGTTTTAAAATAATTATACTTCAATGTTTGAGCAAAACAATAAAAATAGCAAACCTAGATACTTCATTTTCTATAGGCTATATGGAAGTTCTTTTTAGCCCGTGATTTTGAAAAACTTCTCAATAGTTCAAACTTACATGTGAATCTGAGAAGAAAATGTTCCTCATCAGCGTCCACTATTTATATAACTAAATGCTTTGCAATGTAATTTGTAATCACAAATGTATACACTCCTGGAGGGCTGGTACATTGTAGTAGTTAGAAGTATGGACCCCAGAACCCGACAGGTTTGAATCCCAGTCCTGCTGCTTATACTGGCAATGTGACCTGGGCTGAATTACTTAACCTCCTTTGGCTACAGTGCCCTCATAATGGTGTATCAAATAAGTTACCACATATAAAACATTTAGGACAATGTCTGGCATGTATTCATTCAATAAAATATAATATTATCATGTTGATCAGGTTTTTTTCCTTTCAAAACATTGAAAAGAGGATCACATCAAAGATGGCTGCTAATTAATCAATTCCTGGTTGTATATTTAGTATACTCTTTAGTATGCATGTATGTATATCTATGTGTATATATACATATATATACACACTATGCTATATATGATACTATATATCATATAGTACACATGTATAAACTATAATCAATATGGCATATATGTGTGTATGTATATACATGCATGTATATGCAAAAGAGACAAATATGAAAACCAAAAAATACTTGAGATAAGATATGTAATGGAGTAAAATAAAATATGGCAAATTGAAAAAAATCTTATCCTTAGAGCCAATCTTTTATGATAAAAATCACATTTACCCTTTCAAAGATCTCCACTTTTAAGTAATTGACAGTTGGAACTTGGGTTGTCTTGCTGTTTCTGTTGGTTAGTGTTTCCTTCAACATTTATTCTGCATAATACAATTGAAATAATCTTCTTAGGAAGCACATCTTCCTTAAAACCTGATACAGTATCAGTTCACATAGTCTGGAGGGTTCTTCATTTCTAGGTCAGCATTTTGTAATGTCAGTTTTATGAGGTAGTCGATCAACAACTTGCCAGAAAAAAAATGTCAAAAGACTTATTTTCTTAAGCATAAGTCATCTTCCCAAGGTAGTTAGCTGGCACATACCCTTTCTGCCCTTGAGCTTCAGCTAGCCACCATTCTTTATTGCCACTTAGGTCACAGAATCTAATTATATGGACTCTTTGGTATTCCTGAAGGCTGAGTTCATGGTCACTTCGTGCTTGAAAGGCATGAACTGCATAGAAAATCTAGACAAAGAAGCAGATGACATTATTGGAAGCAGAACTTAAATATTTAGACAAACACAAAGATACCTGAGATTTTAGAAGGAATGCTAAACTTGTCTTATTTTTTTCAAAGTCACATTCCCCAATTCTTTCTATTGAATTTATTTTGCTAAAATATGGCCCAGATGAGAATACAGTGAAATGAGCATTCTTAGCCTATTGAGAGTAGTCTAAAGGCAATTTGGCAATTTCTATTAAAAGGCTTATAGAATATTTTTTATTCAATAATAGCTCTAAGAATCTCATACGGAGAAACATTAACAGATTTTTGCACAATAACGTTACTGTTACACAATTTTTTTTTCTTTATGGGTAGTTTCTGTTAGCAATAACAAAAAAGTTCTGAAAATGGATAGTGTTGATGGCTGCTTGATATTGTATATGTAGTTAATGTCAATGAATTATACACTTTATTTTTATTTATTTATTTATTTTTAGGAGAGCAAGGTATAGGCTTTTATTTAGAAATAAAGTGAGAGAATAGAGCTCCTGGCTCACACCAGGAGGGGACAAGAGAGCCCTCTTACACTAAATTTTAAGGTGAAAGTGGCAGGGAAATACAAATAACACTAAAGGAGAAGAGTAAATTCAAGAACCTTACAATAAGAAAATTTGTAGTCACTAAAAATGATGTTTTCTGAGACTAATATAAGCAAATGCTTATGATAAAATAGTAAAAAGATATAAGATTAGATGTATAAATCTAATACTGTTAGTTTCTTTGGCAGAATTAGAGGTGATTTTCATTTTATTTGTTTCTTATTTTCTAACCCTTTATAATGACAATATTAAATTTATAATTATAAATTACTTTAAGTGACCTAAAAGGAATTAATAAAATATAGTTCAGTCAAAAGAAATTTTTCTCTGAACTTAAAAGAATATTTCGTGATTATTAGATGCATAAGAAACTCCTAATAAATAAGTGGTTAGTCTCTCTTCCACTAAAATCCTAAGACTGATAAGAACGTTTAGTTATGGTATAAAATTAAGCAGTTGACTAACAACATATTCATTAATTCATTTAACCAAAATTTATTAAATGCTAAATATTATGAGAGATCCAGCTAGGGAAATGAAAATACCCCCCCAAAAGGTACACACACACCCAAAAAAAGCAACAAAAAGCACCATACACGTATGGATATATCAGCTAATTGTGTGACCTGGTTTTTGATAGAAGTAGCCTTTTATATGTGATAAAGTTGATAAGGGGGATGGGTATGTCATTTTCAAAGGTACAGAGATGAATTCATGGAGGTGGTACATAGGAAAGACAAGCAGATTGATTTTCTTAAAATTGAAGGTCAGTGTAAAAGAGATGATGAGAAATATTTTACCTGTCGAGCAGGAAAAGAGATGGGGCAGTGTGGAGAGGGGATTATAGTTACAGCTTAAGATGGCCTTTAGATTTGGAGCTGTTACTTAATTTAGGAAATTCTGATACCATTGATTTGTATATCATCTCAACAACTCTAGCATGAGCCCCCACCTCAAAGAGGAAGCACATTCAAACCTTTCTCCATTTGCCACATCATGGTACACAGTATGAATTCAAATGTATATTGTTTTGACTTGAAAGTTAGGCTGAAAGGCTTGGATATCATACAAGAACAAACAAGAGCTTGTCTTGTATCATAGAAGAGACAAGACGTTGAACATGAATTATTTTGTAAATTAAAAAAAGCAAAGAAGAAACTGGAAAGGAAAGTGCTGTAATTCTTGAACAAGGCAGTGGCAGCAGAAATGACCACCAGTGACAGCGCCCTTGACCATCTACATGTCAAATGTTCTTTATCCTGTGAGTTGTGACTTGGAGAAATAACATGCCTTTCACCGTAGAGCTAGTTGTTGCTGATAGGACTGTGTCTTCTGAATCCAAATCCTGTGTTTGGTCCATTTCTCATAATACTTTAGGAACCAAACTCTTTTCCAGAAACAATGTGTAGAGAATATTCTTGAGGAGAGGAAATAATGGCACTATTACGTCCTGGTGCTGGTTTCGTCATTTAGAAAGTGAAAACATTGACTAGATCCACAAGAGCAGAGAGGACTTGGTTTGCTTACCTCTCAGGAATACGATGTACCATAATACAGCTTCTGAAATTATCTGTAAGAACCTATCTCAGCAGTTGGGCTAGCCATTTTTTATAAGTTTTGTACATAATATATATGCTTTACCAACGCAGCTGCAGATTTCTGTAGCAGGCTGAATTACCGACTAATACCTAGATACTTGTCCTGGTCTTTCCCTTTAGCACATGTTCTCTCAAGGGGAATATAAAATCTTCCATGTACATTTATTTGTTATGGACATAGCAGAGCTTATATTTTAAACACTAAATATAGATTCTCAAGAAATTGTAAAGTATAAAATTATACTTTCAATACTTAAGGTGATCATGGTCAGAAATTAGGGTGAGCATTTTTCAGTTTTATATATATGTTTATGCTTCCCATTTAACATAAAGTACTCAAAATTGAACTAAATCTGCTTTTAAAGAGACAGCAGTTGATAATGTTACATTATAAGTTAGATGTTTTCAACTTGTTATAAATTTAAGAGCTGAAGGATCTAACTTTCAATCTTAATGTGTTTTGGTCCAGACACATTAATTAAAAGTTTATTAATTTAAGCTATAATCATCTGATTTGTTTCTCTTTTTCCTTGGTACTTATTAAAATATATTTTATTGGTTGCCTTTGCACTCTGTAAAGGTCTCACTCATTTTATGTACAATATTCTGTGAATACAACCCAGTCCTCCACAGCATTTACTTTCTAAAAGAGTAGCATTCTATGTTATATGACTGACTCACTCCCAGTTTCTTACCCACTGCTCGTAACTGCCAGATCTCTTTGGTGGCCTTGCCAGGTCAGCAGTGCCTTATTCTGTATTCGTGCATTTAATTATTCCCCCCGTAGTGAGCCACATTACCTTTCTTCACTGAATCTCATTTTATTGATTTCATCCCAGTTCTTCAAATACAACAAAAATAATAATCCATTTTAAACTCCTTTTCCAAAACTAAAAAGCTATAAAACCAGCATTTACAATATTATGTCATAAGTAGTTCAGGAAGCCAAGATAGTTATATTGCATGAAAACTGCTCATTCTTCCCTCTAATGCTTTAAGAGCAAGATTTCAGGTTCTTCAGTTAACAATTATGTATTATTATTACACGTTTCTTTTTATTACTGAAGTATCATTGATACACTGTCTTACACACAAGTCATTTGTATAAAGAAATAATTTTAATAAAGGTAAACAAATCACCTAACTGCATTAATAGTTGTATTTCCTTCCTTCGCTTCCTCCTCCTCTTTCTACCTACCTACCTGAAGTGACAATAAACATGGGATTATAGAATACATAGTTTTTGCAGCCTGCTTTTTCACTTCAAAATAGATTTGAAAGTCTTTTCATGCCTGAATATAGGTCTCTAAAGGATCGTTTAATGACTACTTAAATACATATGTTACAGCCTGCTGACTTTCGAAGCACTTTCTAAACAAAGACACAGGCACATAGCATTATCACTGTAAGTAGCTAAAAAGGTAAAGATGAAAGACCACACTATGAATTTAACATTAGCAACAAAACATTTCAGAAGTAAAAAATTATATCTCAGTATTATTTATGTGGAAAAGGAAAAGAGCTTTGATTCTCAGACAGTGAACTTCCCTCTGAAGCTGGATTTCAGCCTGGTCCTCTGAGAAGTAGCAGAGAATACATGCAGCAGCCCCTGGTGCTGCCTGCCAAACAAGGTGTCTTAGGCACTGATAGCCAGAAGGCTAATAAGCTGGACTCGGGATTCCCACTGCTGGTAAGCATCCTGTTTAATTCCCTATGTGAATATCATGGGAGTTTACTCCTGTTGTTAGGTATGTTACATAGCAAAGGCAAAGCGATTTTGCAGAGGTGCCCAGTAAGTTCTCGAATAAGGTGACTTTGAGTTAGTCAAAAGATCATTCTGAGTGTGCCCGATATAATCAGGGGAACCACTGAAAAGTGAGTTCTGGCTGCCTCTGAAGGAAGAAATTTAAAACTAAGAGATGCTTACCTACTGGCCTTGAGGAAGCAAAAAGCCATGCTGTAAACTGCCTGCAGAGACAGCCTTGTGGCAGGGATCTGACAGCAGCCTCTAGTTAATGAAAGTGGTCCTCAGCTGATGGCCAGCAAGGAAATGGAGGCCTCAGTCTTACTGGAATAAGGAGCTGAACTTTACCAACAACCATGAGCTTGGAAGAGAACCCCAAGTTTCAGAAAGGATCGCAGCCCAGCAAACTTCTAGATGACAGCTATGTAAGATGCAAAGCAAGCATCCAGCTAAGCTGTGCCTGGACTTCTGACCATGGGAATGGTGAGATAAATAATTTATGCTGTTTTAAGCCACTTCGTTTGTGATATTATGTTACACAGCATAGAAAACTAATAAAAACATGCCATTACTCTTTGATGGGAAAAAGGAGAGAAAGCATATTCATTTGACTGCCTTTGTTATATTCAAAAACATTCAGAGTAAGTTCATGTCTGTGTGGGATGTATATGGTGGACTCTGAATGGATTGGTTCTTAGGCCCCAATAAGTAGAGTGACCATATCTCCGAATTACAACAGTTACAGTTCCTCATTCAGTTAGCACTCTCTTTTATTAACAAAAATTTCCCATTATAGATAATAAGTTGTATTTTCATCTTACCCTTAATTCTTGCTGTCTTTCCAATGGGTTTCAGCCCTGGGCAAGTTCGCTATGGATTCAATGTGACCAAAGAAATTGACAGCAAAGCGTTCTTGGGGTGAAAGGGTTATACCCAACTTTATTTCCAGGTGGCAGGTCAGCCACTAAAATCCTGTTCACTCTGAGCGAGTCTATGCAGCAAGCCGGTCTCTGCCTCTGGGCCCTTCTGTCTGCACAGCCATCCTCTGGGCCCCTCTGTCTACACAGCCATCCCACACAGCCGTCCTCTGGGCCTCTGCACAGTTGTCCTGCAAAGCCATCCTCTGGGCCTCTGTCCTCGGTGCTGCCACCACTCCAGCCTCTGCTCTGCTCTCCTGCAGCCTTGCTGCACTGCCACTGTGTCACTCCCAGAGCACTGGGCGGAGCTCTTTGTATAGTCAACATCCATGTATTGCCCACAGGTGTGCAGTGAGCTAGTCAACCAGGGCCAGGTGAGAATCCTGGCCACAGGAACTCTCATTTTATCCACACTTACCCACTAGAGCCATTCTAGAAAATGCTGGAGGCTCTTTATCCAGTAACTTTTTTATTGGGTGGGAGAATGGATAAGTAAGTTGAGCCTCTAGAGCAATGGCTTCTAACCTTTTAAAGCCTGTTGAAAGCTTTGTGCTTCTCATACTATAGTTATGCACATAAGCAGAAAACTTCCAACAGATTTGAGGGTATTCAGGAATCTTCCCAAAGACCATTCATAGACTCCTTTGATTCTTGGAGCCCAGGTTAAAAACTCAGCTTTAGTGTAAAAATCACAGAACTACTAGTCTTAAGTCAGCCTGAACTTGCCTATTTGTGACTGATTTTTAGACCCCCAATGATGCCATCTGAATATCAGGTATAGGCCAAGGCTACCCATTCACCAGTCTTTGTCCACTACAACCATCAATAACACTAGATTATAGCCCACAGTAATACCCCCTGGGCAACATGCTACTGCAATTCTGGAAGAAAGCAATAGAAGAATTGTGGCCACAGTAGGAAAGGATAGGGAAAGAAATGGTGACTTAGAGTGGCATCCCATTAAGCCAGTACAGGTTTCAGCTGATGTTACAATGAGATGTCACTTCACACCCACTAGGATGGCAATACTAAAATAGACAGACGATAGGTGAGGATGTGGAGAAACTGCAACTTGCAGCCCTCATGCATTGCTGGTGGGTATGCAAAATGGTGCAGCCACTTTGAAAAACAGTTTGGCAGTTTCTTAAAAAATTAAACATAAGTGTATCATACCAGCAAGCAATTCTACTCCTAAGATCTCTCAAAAAAATTAATTCTCACAAAGATTTATACACAAGGTATAACAACATTATTTATAATAGAAATTACCCAAAATGTCTCTCAGCTGGTGAAAGGATAAGCAAAATATGGTATATCCATAGAATGAAATACTATTAGGCAATAAAAAGCAACAAACTACATAAATATCCTACAACATAGATGAACCTCAAAAATGTTAAAGAAGCCAACTACAAAACACCACATACTATATGATTACATTGATGAGAATATACAGGAAAAGGCAAATCTAGGGAGAGAGAAAGTAAATTGGTGACTTTACTAAGTGGAAAAATGGGATGACTGCAAATGGGTACAAAGGATTTTGGGGGTGAAGGAAATGTCCTAAAATTGGATTGGGGTGATAGTTGCACAACTCCGTAAATCTATTAAAAGTCACTGAACTATACAGCTAAAATGGATGTATTTTATGGCATGTAAATAAGACCTTAATAAAGATGTTTTTAAAAAATAATTCATCATGAATTGGACAGCAATCAATTTATCATTGATGAAAGAAACCAAATAGATATTTTTGAAGAGATGTATTGCAATGTCTATCAAGACTTAATATGTATATATTATTTAATATTTATTTAATAATATTTATTTAATATTATTTAATATATATATATTTATATTCTACATATTATATATACTTATATAAGTACACACACACTCTTTGGCCCTCTAAATATTTTTAGGAATTTGCCCTACATATATACTTATATAAGTGCACAAAAATAGATGAACACAAGATCTTGCCTGAAATATTATTTGAAACTTTTAATGATCCCAAGTATTCTAAATGCTTATTATTAAGGTAGTAGTTACATAATTATAAGATATCAACAAAAAAATAACATGCAGAATTTTTTAAGGAAGAAGGCAGATTTTTTGGTAGTGAAAAAAAATTGATTATGTAACATGATACATATGATACATGTTATCACTTGCATGAATACATGTGTTTGTATATGCAGACAGTGTTTGGAGAGATATGCTCTAATATTATCTCTGAAGAGTAGGACTGGGGGAGAAGGAAATAAAGACCTTTACTTTAAATTTATGTGTATCTTTCTACCTATTCTAACTTTTCACAATTAGCATGTAAAAAAGTTATTACTATAGTAATAATATATTAATTATTAATATATATCAATTATATATATTATATAAATATGCAATATTTATAAACAATACAAACATATACATATATTTATATATAAATAAAAATATATATATAAAATTATCCCTTATTAAAACAGATATTTAAATTAATTAATAAAAAGCCTCTAAAGGAAAAATCAAGTTAAAAAAAAGAACCAGTCAGTTGGTCACAGCTTGGAGATCAACAGTTAAATGTATTAAAAGTTTCTGAAGGAATGAAAAGGAACCCTACATTTTCATTAACTTACCATTTTGTGAAAGGATCATCCACTAGCCTTTGCACTAGTGCATTATGGAAAAGGTAGTTCTTTAAAGGTTTCAGTATATAGTATATGGCATAATACAAGAGATTAAATATAATCAATTTACCACAGCTCAATGAAGATACTGCTTTTAGAGGAACCGTGAACACTTTTCCACATGGTACTGATGGAGGCAGTCTGTTCAATACTGAACTGTTTTCCTCTGATGGGGGAGGATAAAGAGACCATCTTTGCATCCCTTCAAGCACATATACAGCAGGGTAATAATAACAGCAGCTACTATTTATTGTCTACTCTGTGCTGGGTACTCTACATATACACAACTCTCCAATCCTCACATCAACTCTGCACAGTAGGAATTACTATCCTGTTTTCCTCATTTGAGGTAGCAGGCTCAGAAAATAATATTCCTTGCAAAAAGTGCATGGAGAGTACGTGTGTCAACAGAGCTAGGTCTCCCTGATGTTGAACTGACACCCCCCCACCATGTCTCACAGTAAGAGAGAGCACTGTTGGAAGAATGTCTTTTATGATTTGGACAACCAAGCATTTTTGTATCAAGGTTCAAATTCTTACCTGATCATCTACCTCTTGAAAACTGTCAACATCAGTGCCATTTGTTTCAAACTTCCCATATGCGCCACTAAGAGACGAGCTGCTATCACTTACGCTACCCTCCGGGGTGCCTGTGACACTGTCGCTAGCTGGCCGTGAAGACACAAAGAGGCTGATGTTATCAAAATCATCATCACAGAACCTGTTCTCAGCATCCTCCTTCTGCACTTTTGCTGGATTGTAGGGTTTTAGGAAGCAGGAATACACATATCCTTTTATAACTGGTAAGAAATAAGAGGAAAGAAGAAACAAGATTATTTAGATACTCCAAACATTTGTGTTCAGAAAAGTGCACAGAGGCTCCTGGGAAAATCTCAACTTGAAAAGAGCAGGTAGTACCGTGCATCTTATGCAAAAAACTTACTTCCTGTATCAACAAGCCACCTGCTTGTACTCCCCAGTGGATCTTTCTGTTCCATCACAGCCACCAACTCCCCTTCCAGAAGATTGATGTCATATTCTTGTGTGGCATTGCACTTGCGCTTAGCTTGATAGATTTCCTCTGAACTGTATGTGGATAGAAGTTTGGAGCGGTGAATGTCAGTTTGACGTGGCACTTCTGGCTGGGAGAAGTAAGGAAAAATTTTCGTTTAGATAGATGTATAATAAAATCCTCACTGAGCTGGCAAATATTTCTTCTCTGGAGAGTTTTTAAATGTTGCATCCATACATTGATTTGGGATTTTTTTAGTGTTGTATAGGTCTGGTTGTTCTGGGAAGTATTCAACTGAATTATGCAGTGGAAAATTCTCTAGTTAGCACATGAGGGCAGTGTTGTAGAGAAGAAAGAAAATTCAACTGAGAATACAAAGGCAGAGGTTCTAATCCCTCTTGGATGGAATACTTTTTCTTTGCCATACTGTAGATGTTCCCTTGCATATTAAGCAGTTAATAAATAATATTTAATTAAGTAAAAAGACATATGCATGTCTCTTTTCCTGGGAAATAATATCAGTGAACTAGGCAGGAGTTAAGAGGCCTGGACCCCATCCCAGCCCTGACACTACTGACTTTGAGAAAGCCACTTGATCTCTGAAACATGGAATTCCTTAGCTAGAAAAATGAAAGGGTTGAACTGTGTGATTTTGCTCTATAAAATTCCACTCATTCATTCAACAGATATTTATAGAGTGCCTATCTGAAGACTGTTTTAAGAGCTTTGACTACATCATGTACAAAACAGATAAAAATCTATGGCTTTACAGAGCTCATAGTATAGTACATAGAAATAGACAAGAAATTCTATATATAATAAGTAGGTAAGTTAGAGGATACTAGAATGCTGTAAGTGATGGAAAATAATTACTATGATTTGAACAAGACAGTGATTGTCACCATTGTCATAAATCCTACTATACTCACCAGAATTTGCACAGGCTTCTTCTTTTCAAAACTAAGTTTCCTCTCAATAAAGGTGACACTGTTGTCCTTTACAAAATTCAGATTTTGAACCTCTTCTAAAACTTGATTCTGAATTTCAGAGATGCTTGAAGCCAAAAGTGGTACCTATAGATAGAAATGATACAGCATTGTTCCTGGACTACTACTTAACCATAGTAGGTATTAAATTTAGTAGAGTTGTGATAGACAGTTGTGAAAGTGTGTAGATAGCACAGTGTAAAATTAGGTCAATGTTGGGATTTCTAGATAAAAATGGTCTAAATTTGCTGTCTCCAGAAACTCCACTAAAATGATAGAAATCATTTTTTAAAGGTTCAAGCCTCAATAAAAGGAGAACCGATGAGAGAAAAACATCAATAAAAATTTGGAAGAAAAGCTCAGAAATTGATAGCATCAGTCACCTCCATATTAAGGTGGGCTAGTTGTGAAGGGGAAAGAGGCTAAAACAAGAAACACTGGTTAAGAGCCTGTGATGGGTTTAAAACAAATCAGCAAATTCTTTGACAAGCTTCCCATCAAGAGGTGACATCTATGTCCCCTCCCCTCAAAACTGGGTAGAACTTTTGGACTGTCTCAGTGAATAGGTACTGGAATGAATAGAAAAGTGGAAGTGATGCTGTCTGGTTTTCAAGATCAGACTGAAAAAAAACCACGCTGTTTCTGTGGGTTTTGCTTGGGACACTCACTCTGAGAGGCTCTAGTAGCCATGGAAGAAGTCCAGCTGCATTGTGACAACCATATGAAAAGACCATGTCCAAAGACCAGAGAGAGGGGGGAACAACTGAAGTAGCCCCCAGCTGTCTGAGTCTTCCATCATCCCATCATTAACCTCAGATACAGGCCTGAGTAAGTCTTTGAGACAATCTAGCCCCTGCTGTTATCTGACTGCAACCTCCTGAGACACTCTTAGAGTGACTGCCCTGAGCCCACGAACTCCCAGGACCATGAGAGACAATAATACTAAGTGACTATTGGTTCCTCTCACCATCTTCAGGGCTATTTGTTAAGCAGTTACAGAGGCTGAAACTATTTTTGAAGCAGTTGGATTCCCAGATTATTTCTACATTTCAGTGAAGCTGGTGATTGCCTCTCCCCTACCTTGGCAGAGAATGAAGATTTCTTCTTTGCAAATGGTAAAACAGAAAGTCTCTAGAATGGGGACATTAGACACAAATAAGGGCAAGGGGACCCATTTTGGCAAGAGGGAACTAAATGAGTGGATGTACACTGGACCCAGAGACAGGGCCCTCTCTAGCCAGGTCTAACAGTCAACCATTACTCTGTAGTATGAAGATTTGAAGAATCATCTTTGGAGATTCTGACCAACCCAAGAGGAAAGATCTGAAGATGCTATTGTCAAGTGTTCCCAAATGATTGACAGTCAGATCACTCTATACAACAGTGAAGCTCATAGTTTTCAACTCCTACCTACATGCTCAATGTTGCCAATTATTCCTCAGTTCTCTATCTTAATCTCTTTAGTGGTGGATTATCAAGTATATCAGACATCCAATGCATGCCTCTAATATAAAAAAAATCAAAAGATGAGCCTGAAAATTAAGTTAGGAAAATACCTTAGAAAGTAGAGCAAAGTAATAGAGAAAAGATAAAGTGGGAAAAAAATAACAAAATTAGAGGAACAACACAGGAGGTTCAAAAAGAGAAAATGTAGAGAGAAAAATCATTAATGATACAGTCAAAGAAAGTTTCTGGAAGCAGAAGACCAATTTTCAAGTTGAAATTTTTCCCACCAAATACCCCAAGGCACATCATTACTAAGTTTCAAACGGCTTGGGACAATAAGAAAATTCTATAATCTCAGAATGGGACAGGATGGGGGATGTAGACACTGAGAAATGACTGGTGGTTACCACCAGGGAGGGGTTGAGGTATGTGGGTAAGAAGGGTGAGGAGAATAAAGGGGCACAGAAATTCTCAATCATAATATAATTTGGTCACCAGGATAGCAGTACAGCACAGAGAATATAGACACTGATTCTGTAACATCTTTTCTACGTTGACAGATAATAACAGCACTAGTAAGGATGAGGATTTAATAATATGGGTAACTGTTAAGCCACTGTGTTGTATATTTGAAACCAATATAAGATTGTATATCAATGATATTTCAATTAAAAGAAAAAAGAATCAGAACAGACATCAGAGTTCTCAACAAACAGGGGAAGCTAGAAGACAAACAATAGAATGCCTTCAAATTCAGGAAAGCAATTTAGAATTCTACACAGAACAAATTATCAATTAAATGAGATAGTACATAAAGACATTTTCTGATATTCAAGTGTCAAAATATTAACTTTCTAATTATCCTTTCTCAAGAAGCCTCCCAAAAATATGCCTACCCAAATAAAGGCATAAAGCAAAAAAGAAGTCAACAGGGGATAAGGAAATGTGAGATCTCACACAGAACAGAGGTGAAGGGACTCCCCAGAATGATGATGACATGTAATCCCAGGATTAGTTAGTTACCAGATAAAAAGGACGACCAGTTCAGATTGGAGGGGGTCAGAAAGCTCCGACAGATTTCTCCAAGAAACACAATGAGTAGAATACCTCATGCATCTGAATGTCTTAAGAGGTGATTTAGTCAGCAGATAAAGTTAGGGCAAATGAAAGTTAAGCTAGTCATAAAAGGAAACACAGTTATTAACTTCAGGAAAAACAAAAAATTATGCATGAAAGAAAAATTAATCATAGCACTATATGCTTGAATTCTATGCAGCATTTACTTCGTGTGCTGAGCATCTTGTGTTTGCTTCTTCGGATTCATCCTCTTTCCTTTCCATCTTGCTGTGCTCTGGGAGGCTGATCTGTGTGGAACGTATCAATGGCTTCCTTGTGCTCACCAGCTTCCAGATGGGTTTCATCAATGAGAAGCACCCATGTGAAAGCAGAGTGAGGGAGGAAAGTGAGATAAGGATATTTATTTCCTAAGTTTCCTTTCTGTGGGACTGACAGATAGCCACAGCTTCCGTCAGGTAACCCTCTCCTCTTACCTCTTTTTACACATTCCTATAACCACACCTTCCTCTTGTCCCTTCAATCATAGATGTTGTGTCTCCTTTGTTTGATGAGCCCTGGGGGAGTGCATGATTCTTAAGGTTTCCCTATGCCATACTCACATTTTTGAAAATAGTCTCTTTATTAAAAATTTTCTTCAAATGTTCAATTGAGGGTGCTATGTTTTTCTTATTGGCATTATGACTAATAAACTAGTCAAATAGTTTAAATGCTGAATATGAACTCAGCCAAATATATGATACTACTGTATTGGCAAGGAAATAGAATGTATGTGACTATGTATGTTGTGGGGGCAGAGAGAGAAGAGACAGGTAAATTTTCATTTCTCATAGTGGAACAAATTATGCCTAAAATTGAAAAACAATGAAATGGCAACACAAGAGTATTATTTTTAAGAATTAAGGCAAACACCAAAAGAATAATCTAAAAGAGGATAAAGAATGGGGAAAAATGAATGAGAGACAATTTTTTCTCTTAACTGAACCTTTAAATGATGTGTACAAATAGCTAATAAAAAATAAAAATCTTTAAATCATGTGCACTCACAATTCTGATAAAAATAAAAACAGAGGTTTGGATCCCTCAAAAAATTAAATATGGAATTGCCATATGATCTAGCTTATTCTACATCTCTGTATAGATCCAAATGAATTGAAAGCAGGATGTCTAAGAGAAATGTGCATACTCATGTTCATAGAAGCATTATTCACAATTGCCATGAGGTAGAAGTAATCAAAATGTCCATTGATTGATAAACAGATAAAGAAACTGTGGTACATACATACAATGGCGTATCATCCAGGCCTAAAAAGGAAGCAATCCTATCACATGCTACAACATGGATGAACCTTGAGGATATCATGCTAAGTAAAATAAGCCAGTCACAAAAAAGGCAAATAACTGTATGATACTACTTATATGAGATATATAAAGTAGCCAAATTCATAGAAACAGAAAATAGTTATGTTGTTTGCCAGGGTGTCGGGGGAGGTGGGGAGTTGGGAACTGTTTAATGAGTACATAGTTTCAATTTTGCAAGATGAAAATGTTCTGGAGATCTGTTGCACAGTAATGTGAATATACTTAACACTACTGAACTGTACAGTTAGAGCTGTCCCTTCTAAAACTGTACAGTTAGGATGATAAATTGTACTTGTTTTACAATTAGAAATTTTTTAAAATTGTATACCTTTATTATCCTCATTTTCTTCATATGAAAAATTGAGACACAGAGATAAATTAATTTTCCCAAGGTAGTATAGTGATGAGTGGATTCAGAAAAGTCATTCTGGTGTCAGAGTCTGTTCTCCAACCACTATTCAATTCTGTCTTTCAGAAATATACAGTTAAACTAGATGTTACCATTGCAAAAATTGTGTGAAGGGTATATGGTGTCTCTGTATTACTTCTTATAACTGCGCATGAATCTATAATTATCTCAAAATAAAAAAATTTAAATATACATTAAAAAACATATAAAATATATAATGAAATCATTTTATTGAGGATAAATTTCTCCAAAATGCTTTCTACTTTAGGGCATTAGTAATTTCTCAAAAACTAAGTATTCTTTGCTTCTGTTCTATTATGGACTATAATGTGAAAGATATTTAGATAATACAAAAGAGAAACTGAAGACATCTTTAAAAATTCTATGATTCAATGTGGGAATCAAAGACAACTAAAGGAACATATCTTTTCTTTGCAGGATTTGTTAATTCCTGCCAAACCTCAACTTTACTGTGAACTTACAAACCTGCCTTCCTCCATGACCACTTAGGACACACAAAGACTCTCTTCATAAGCCTCAGAATGAAATTATCTAAAGAAATTGCAAATTGAGTGACTTCCATTGAGAAAATATTAAGAACAACAGCAAGTAACTTTTTAATAAATAGTGTTGGGGCAACTGGATAGCAATTAGGAAAAAAATTGCATCCATATTTCATATTATGAATCAGGGTAAAATCTATATAGATCAGAAATTGAGATAAAAAATAGGAAGCATAAATATACTAGAAAGAACATGGGTGAATTCATTTGGAGCCTCAAAGCACAGAAGTCCTTTCTAAATATGACTCAAAATCTAGAAATCATAAAATGAAAGATTAATAAATTTGACTACATTTAAAAAAATACAAAGTTCTTCATGACAAAATAAAAATACCGCAAACAAGTCCAAATACAAATGGTAAACTGGAAAAAAAATATTCTCATTTATGTCTCAAACAAAAAGCTCATCTCCTAGTGTACATATTGCTTCAAGAAATTGAGAAAAAAAAGACCAGTAACCCAGTAGAGGAGCAAAAAGACCCGAACAGCTAACTCAGGGGAAGAGAAATAGAAATAGCTGCCAAACGTGGGAAGATTCTCAATCAATCCTACTAATAATTGGAAAATCACAAATTAAAATTACACTTGAAAGCTGTCATCATATGGGCAAAAATCCAGGGAAACCAGCTTCCTCAGATGTTGGTGGTAGGAATCCAAAATTGTACAACATTTAGTAGGGAATCTGGCCATACTGGCAAAATTACATACACATTTACCCTTTGACCCAGTGATTCCCACTTCTGGAAATCTCCCCTAAAGTTACATCTCAAATGACTGGCATTGTTTGTAATAGTTTGGAAAAGACTGAAAATAGTGCAAATATCCATCAACAGGGATGGATTAATACACAAAAGTATACATATCATGATTCCATTTATATGAAATACAAACCAGGTAAAACAGTCTGTAGTAATAATATAGATCAGAAAAATGGTTAGCTTTGAGGGACTACAGCCTGGGAGTAGTCTTGTGTGACTCTAGTGGAACTAGAAAGAGCTTATATCTAGATTTGGGTGGTGTTTACACAGATGTATATACATGTAAATATTCATTGAGGTGTATACTTCAGACTGATGCACCTTACTGTATATGTTATAATTAAATTGTAAAAGTTTAAAAATATGGGACTGATTAGAGAATCAAAACCACAATGAGATCTCACTTCATACCCATAAGGATGGCTATACTGAAAAAGACATGATGTAAGAAAATTGGAATCTTCAATCATTCCTGTTGAAAGTTTAAAATAGTGCAGCCACTTCGGAAAATAGGCTGGCAGTTTTTCAAAAGGTTAAACATAGACTTAGCATGTGTTCCACCAATTCCATTCCCAGGTACATAGTCAAGAAAAATGAAAATATGGTTCACTAACAACTTGTTAATAACAGCATTTTTCATAATAGCCAAAAAGTGGAAATAACTCAAATGTCCATCAACTGATGAATGAATAAATAAAATGTGGCACAACCATTCAATGGAATGTTATTGGTGACTTGAAAACATTATATGAAATGACAGAAGCCAGTCACTAAGAATAACATATTTTTAATTCTATGTATATGAAATGGGCAAATCTGTAGAGACTGAAAGAGGATTGGTGGTTGCCTAGGGCTGGGGAGACTGGGGGGAAATGTGGAATCACTTGGTACAGAGCTTCTTTTGGGAATGATGACTATGTTCCAAAATTGATGTGGGGACAGTTGCACAACCAAACAATAGTGGGTTTATATTCACTACTGTACAGCTATGCAGTAGATGAGCATAAAGCTGTAAAAAGAATGAGGAAGCTCTCATGTACTGACAGAGATGCATCCCCAGGATGTTACTAGCAAGATACAGAAAGTGCTGTAATATACTAGTTTTGTGTTGGAAAAAAAATATATATATATATATGTGTGTAGAAAAATATATTTCATTTATTTTTAATGGCATGAAGCCCTAAATGGATAGAAATAAACTAATAACAATAGGGGTGAGGTGCGGAAGGGGTGGACGGCAAACAGGAGTTTGTATGAAACTGCTTACACGTTTTTATATAGTTTAGCCTTTCAAACCACATAAATGTAACACCTGTTTATTCAACTCGCCTTAATTAAATACACATTAAAAATAAAGTGGGGACAATTAATTTTCCTCCAAATGTCCATTAAATATCAAACCAGCTGAATGGGAGCTAATTGAAGTGATGGGCAAAGAGACCAACCTATTTCTTTAAAGTTTATATTAGGTTTTAAATATCTTTCTTCCTCTTTAAGAAAATAATTATAAAATCATATCCTAATGGGAAGCTAAATGAGAGGGAGTTACTGACCCACAGGCACACTCATGTACTCGGAGTGCACACTCTGCCCAGGGCTGTTTACCACGGGCCTGGATTCTCAGAGGTCCTGTAGGCCAAGGTAGCCCGGGGCTGGGGCTGTGCTTACCGACCCCTCTGTGGCATAAAGCCGCTGTGCCATGAGCATCAGGTCTCTGAGGAGGGTGAGGAAACTGCTCAGGCAGTTGGACAGAATCTTCCGAGCGGCCTGGTTGAACACCTGGAGCTCCTCCACAAGCTGGGCATTGAGAGCCTCATATTCCTTTTTAGCCAAGTCGGACTCGTCTCCCGCTGCCCGTCTTAGGTGGCTGTTGTAGTCTAGCAGCTTGTCATAGCGTTTCTGGATGAGCTTTTGAGGCCCTGGGAATAACGACAGCAGGGCTGACAGGGGTGTCAGGATGAACCTCTGTAAGTGGGCTGCCTGCCAAAAGAGAAAAACAACCCAGTTGCAGAGGAATGATCAGTGCTGTCCATCAGCAGGTTTACAAAGGAAAACAGAAAAGAATCTAGCCAAGTTTAAGAGGATGCAAGATCATTTTGTCTAGAGAAACCTGTTCAAGGACTTCAAACAGGGACTCTAGACTCTAACATGGGACCTGAAGCATGAGCAGGAAGACCACAATGTTAAAACTTGCCAACGTAAAGACATCCCACCTTTCTCTTACAGCCAGTGGTTCTACCCTTGGGGTCATCTCCTTCAACACTTTCCCCTCCCCCTGCTTTCTTATCCCAGTGCCACTGGAGCTACTCCAGCACTCAGGGTGGGGGGGCAGTCTCCAGTCTTTGACCATTAAGACTGTGCAAATGGAGAGAGGGAGCCAAGATGGCGGCATGAGTAGAGCAGGGGAAATCGCCCAAAACCACATATATTTTTGAAAATACAACAAATACAACTATTCCTAAAAGAGAGACCAGAAGACACAGGACAACACCCAGACCACATCCACACCTGCGAGAACCCAGTGCCTCATGAAGGGGGTAAGATACAAGCCCCACCCCAGCAGGACCCAAACGCCCCTCACCCCAGCTCCCGGGGGAAGGAGAGGAGTCGGAGCGGGGAGGGACAGGCAGCCCAGGACTGCTAAACACCCAGCCCCAGCCATCTGCACCAGAGCGCAGACACAGTGCGTGTGTGGGGTCCTGGATACTAGGGAAACAGGACAGTAAGACCTGTGAGCAGGTCCCTGCAGCTGGCGCCCTGGGAACAAAGAAAAGCGAGTGCTTTTTGGAAGTCTTAAAGGGACAGGGCCCCCAAAGCTGGATGGAAGCATCCAGGGACACTTAGCCCAGCGTCTGGGAATCCTGGGGAACTCTGGGCACTCTAACCCCCTGGGCAGCAGGGAGCACAGAGGCCCCTCATGGAGATAAAAAGCTTTCCAGCCATTTCATCTCCAATGGGGCTCTGCCATATTGGAGCAGCAGCCCAAGGCAGGCCATGCCCACAGCAAAAGTGGAGCTAAACTCCATAGCAGCTGGCAAGAATCAGAAGTCCCATCTGCACCCAGCTGCCCAGCACAAGCCGCAAGAGGTCACTGTTCTCCCAGGAGAGGAAGGCCGTAAACCAACAAGAAGGGATGTTGTCCTAGCCATCACTTATGCCAGCTCTGCAAACTATCTCTATCGCCATGAAAAGGCAGAAAAATTTGATGCTGACCAAAATCACAACCCCTGAGAAGGACATAGTCCTAACCAGTCTTCCTGAAAGAGAATTCAAAACAAAAATCATAAACATGCTGATGGAGATGCAGAGAAATATACAAGAGCTAAGGGATGAAGTCCAGAGGGAGATTACAGACATCCAGAGGGAGATTACAGAAATGAAACAATCTCTGGAAGGATTTATAAGCAGAATGGATAAGATGCAAGAGGCCATTGATGGAATAGAAACCAGAGAACAGGAACGCATAGAAGCTGATGCACAGAGAGATAAAAGGATCTCCAGGAATGAAACAAGAGAACTGTGTGACCAATCCAAAAGGAACAATATCCGCATTATAGGGGTACCAAAAGAAGAAGAGAGAGAAAAAGGGATAGAAAGTGTCTTTGAAGAAATAATTGCTGAGAACTTACCCAAACTGGGGGAGAAAATCGTTGCTCAGACTACAGAGGCACAAAGAACTCCCAACAGACTAGACCCAAAGAGGACAACACCAAGACACATAATAATTAAAATGGCAAAGATCAAGGACAAGGAGAGAGTAATAAAGGCAGCCAGAGAGAAAAAAAAA